AATATTTGTGATCACATTGTACATTGGAGGATGAAAAATTGTGATATTAATAAATGTGTTGATGTGGAATGTAATTTTCATCTACAACATTGAGCATTGGAGATGCTCTTAACATTGAGAACCGAATACTTGATCGGTGAAAAACAATTACTCCCTCCTATTTTTTTTTTTTAATTTCATTCTAGTCTTTTCAACTATTTGCCAAATAAATGTCGTTTTGGATCTTTTGTACATATTTTTTCATTAGTACCCTTATTTAACCAATAAATACATTACGTCTTTTCATATTCACTCTTCACTTTTTCTCAAAACATTCATCTCTATCTTCATTAAATAAGGTTATTATTGAAAAAAAAATATTCTTAATTAGTGTGCAACTTCTCAAAACGACATATATTAAAAATATGAGGTAGTATATTTTTATAACACGCCTGAACTTAAACATTCTCACTGTATAGTTTGACGTAATTCGTTTGTAGCCTTGTTCGAATCACTTAGATATGAAAAAAAAAAAAAAAAATGAGTAAAATATAACAGCTTCAATTTATTGTATATAAGTTTTTTTTTTTAAATAAAAAATAAAAATTGTAGTTAGTATATTCAATTGAACAATATCCAATATTAAACGGTTAATAATCTTAGATATCTTACAATAATCATTAAGCTTAATTGTACGTAAAATATCCACGTTTTGTGTAATAGCAAATAAAACTCAACTTTTTTTTTATCTTTGCAAATAAATACCAGACCTTATTATGCGTTTTGTCTTAAAACCATTTTCCGGCCAATCTTGCTGGCGTGTCCGAATAAACACTAAAATCACCTAAAAATCACCCAAAAACCACTCTCTGCCTAATTTTTCAGAACTTGGGAGTGAGCTCGTAAATGTATTTGGATTGTTAGGGGCGAACTCGATTTTTGGGGTGAATAATCGCGCCATGAAGAAGAGAAAAATCGCTGCAAATATTTTTTTTTTTTTCAATTAGGGGAGAAGAACTCAATTTTTATGCTGGCGTGTCTC